CGGAGAGCCCGACGGCCCGCTCGGCGAAGGCGCGCCGTAAGCGCCCAAGTCGGTGGGCGGAAGGGACTGTTGCGGGAGTTGGGATGGGCGAGCCAGTTTGGGAGGCATGTTGATCGTGGTTACCAAAGTAGAAGTGGGGTCAGCGAAGCGAGAGGCTGGCTGGCTGCCGACCGCGAAAGCGAGTTTGGTATATAAGCTTAAAAATGGAAAGAGGTGAATGTATGGAATGGAAGGCGACACAGGCCTGCATTTATACAAGTCGCGGCACCGTACGAACCGGACGCTTCAAGGGGGCTGGGTGAATCGGAAGGGCGCCGGAGGAGTCGGTACGTCTTCGCATGGTGAGCATGGGCGTCGGCAGCTGCGGTAACGTGTGGGGCGCTGTGACAAGTGGAATGCGGCAATGAAAAAAGCGCCATGGAAATGGCAGGCGGACAAGCGGAAATGTGAGTTGGCCTGCATAGCAAGCATCAGCAGGGAGCCACATTATCAACATGATGCATGTGGACATGGATGTGGCTGTGAGCAGTGCCTTCAGAACAGGCCTCCCTGGATTTTTGCGATGTGCTGCATATCATGACTCACTCCGCGGATCACATGCTCACATTGGCACACGCTTACCGGTGCTGCTGGATGGCTCTGCATTCCCAACGCGAACGTCGGTTGGTTGTTCATCGATACGCATGGATGACGTGTCGGCTGTACCGGTATCGCCCACGTCACTACACACGCAGCCATCATGTGTATGCGCTACACGGACTTCAGCTGCACCCTGCGGACCTGTAGGATGGGGTATTATGCAGCAAACAGTTACACAACCATTGTAGCTGTACATGGACACGGTGGGCGCTTGAAATGGTCCTCGTCATCCCACTATCCACGGTCACCATCTTAGGAAATGGCACCATCTTACAATATGGGTTTCTGAATAGAGGGCGGACTAATGCGGGCAGGTGCTTGATGAGCGGTCCTTCCATATACCACTGCCATAACCACAAGTATGCCGCCCCTTAGTCTGGCCTCACCACGTAAACGCTGACAGACATGACTTACGTACTGAAATGAGGCGGACTAATGCGGGCTAGTTTAGACGACAGGTCGTGCGCCAGTACCACGGCCATGACCCAAGCTATGCCACTCCCTGTTTCTTGCCTTACCTCGTAAACGCAGACCGACACCCCTTGACCAGAAGTGCGCCACATTTTCATCTGCTGGCGCACATGCATGCTTTGTGGACTGGTGTAATGCGACCAACTTCAATTTGTGCTCGGCAAGCGCGCCACTGCGTACCGGATATGTTCGCGATGTTGCAGAGACGCTGCACCTCGGCTTCCGTGCGCAATGCGTAAGATGCTTGACCCCGCCGACCAAAACTGCACGTGCCCAACTGAAGAAAGTTACGGTGGTTGTCCAGCAGCTTCTGAGCCTGCTGCTTGCTGAGGTCCTTCCGGAGCTGCTGCAACACGGCTAACGCAGGAGCGGCCATATGCACAGAAAAAACCTGCTCCAAGTTTTCTGCGGCGTCCATTTCAGTTACACAGCTGTGACCGATTTTCCAGTTCTTATGTTTAATTTTGTGTATGCTATCTTTAATTTGCGACAGTTTGTATTTTGACTTCAGACGAAAAAAGATGCTGTTTGCGTATGTAAGCAGGCGCCACGTCTTTTCGAAAAGTGCCGCTTCGCCAGGCGCTTCATCTTCCGCGGCCATTCCATGAGCGCGTGTTGATACCAAGTTATATGCTTTCAGTTACGTCAAGACAGCCATACATTCCTACGGTCCTGCTTGCCGCGTGCAACTGTGGCCAACATGCTGCCGCACAAGCGCGCTGACACACCACGACTTTTCGCCAAGAAAATTTACATACACTTGTACAGGCGCATTTTTTGAAACGCACGTGCGCATCCGCGAGGCAAAATTCGCTCCTGGCTTTGGGGACGAAGTACGGAGGGTCTATTCGGCAGAGTACGACCGCTCACATTTGTGCGAGGGGCTGCTTAATTAGTACTACAGCCAAATTATTGCCAAGCTAGTACAGCAATCAGCGCTGCGCGAATTGGAGAGAGTCATGTATAACCAAGCCAATGTTAAAGGAAGCCACCAGCAAAAACCGCCGTACAGTGAACACGACAGGTTCACAAGTGAGCTGAGGACTGGATATGTAATTGCCTTTAAAAATGTTAGGACTGGCCGGCGACCCATGTGGTCAGGAAATTTTTCTGTACCGCACCGTAGTCAGACATTGTAGCTTTTGAACGGCCATTGCGTTCGCAGGGTTTATATATATTATAATCTTGCACTTCCTAGTTTTGTCATTTGGCATAGAGATTTGCTCACATGTATATGCATGTGCATGTGCAGATTTGAGTGTCGTGTATGTCGTACGGTTACGATTTGCAGCAAGTAGTACCTTGTGTCATCCTTACGGTGTAGACAGTTATACCTGATTGTGCGGACAGGCCTGGTTTTGCCTCTTTGTGGGAAACGCTTAATTGCTTCTATTGTTTCCGTTCGTTAAATTCATCAACTGTATAGCCCGCTTTTTCCTTCTCTTGGCGCAGGCGCCACAAGACCATTAGTGCTTTCCATTAGTTAGGGAGGCTGCTCAGTCTAGGGGCCCTCCGCCTTTGTCATTCACTCTCGGTGCCATGGGAAACACGTTCAGCGCCTGCTATCGTGGTTCTGGTGCTGCCAATGGGGACACGAACGTTGTTCGAGTTAAGGATACCGTGAGTTTGGCTGCAGTGGGAGTTTTCTGTATAGAACAAATGACAAAGAACTATTAGGTATGACAATTGTATAGCCCACGATTAATGCGATTAAGGACATAGTACTTCCTTATAACTGTTTAGTGGCAAGCTGGTTTTCTGCGCCTGTGCTGGACCTGCAGCACCTTGACGCTGTGGCCGGGAAGACCCCAGTAAAGGGCAACAAGGCGGCTATTGACAGTAACGCCATCGACTCATCGCTCATCCTGAACGTCCTTGACCATGAGAATGGGCCGGCCAAGGGTCTTCCATATCAGGTGAATCATGGAAAAAAGAGGTTGGTTCTAGCACTAGGCCGCACAGCTGTGGATTGAACCTTAACCGAATGAAGGTAATCATACGAAAATAAGGCTGCCCACAATCCGATATTGGAGGAGTTATTTTTAGGCTTACGTATAATGCTGTCGGGCCTTCGGGACGGAAAGTGTCTCAGTCATGCAACCGCACTTTGGAATGAACATTATCACCTTGAATATGCGCTTGCTCTTTCCTCTTAGCAAGTACATGCCTATCCTGGAAATTCCCGTCCTTACCTTTGTTATCATTACAGCGGCCTACCAAGTTTCTAAACCGTAATGCAAAGAAACCGAGCCAAAGGGCACATCACCTGTCACTGCAACAGACACAGGCCTAGGAAGGAAGAACAAATGGTCCGTACCGGCACGCACAACACCTCAGCAAGCTCGAAGACCGGACTAGCACTGTTGCAAAGAGGGGATTTTGCCAATATGGCTCCCTATAAATGACAAACCCATGCCGGCATAGTATTCTTGCCTCGATTTGAAGAAATGCGGCCAAATACACACGGGACCGCCTTCCTACCAAGCTGTATCTGAAGAGTCACCCAGGGGTGGAATTACTGATTGCCTTCGCCTGTGTGCGGATCCACGCAAAGCAAATTATCCTCTGCTACCCGTAAAAAGGGTGGTAAGGTCCAACTGTGTTCCACACCGCACCAGAAATGAACAATCATTCTGTGGATGGCCCGGTCCATGATTTGGGCGGCCTGAGGTGGGATTTCCTGTCGGTGTGCTGTAACTTGTGCGAACCGATGCCCCGTCTCCATCGCACTGACTGGCGCCAGGACTTCCCGAACACATTGCTGTATTCCCGTCGGAGGCCGATTTAGCCAGGTTTCGGCTCGGGATATTGGATGTCCCAATCGCATGCAACAATTTGATTAATGACCTCTTGATAACCGCTTGAGCAAGTGGACAGTCCCAAAAGTGATGTATCCTAGGCGACAGCGACTGCTGATGACCTGTAAATGCGCCACCACATCCATTCAAGCGGTTGGTGTAGCGAGGCCTGCATATGAGAGTTACCTAGCAACGGACGATACCGTTGATCAACTGATTTGAACCTCCGCCACGTTTCCTCTGTTGGGAATTTTCGCCCAACACCGCACAGTCGACCACACACGACGCGAAACGAACGCACGTTGTAAAAAGCATGAATTGCCCAAGATGGTGGTTGTTATGTCTTATCTTGTGAATCACTTTTCCCTTTTCTTAGTGACCCGCCTACCACAGTACCCATAGCCGGCTGGAACTAGGGCTGAAACTAGAAGGAAAAAAGGGGGAGAGCAGTGCTAAGTCGACGAGAGCAGTGCTCTGCGTGCTTGGTTCGCACCCGTCGTCTTACCAGGGTCCCCGCTTTCGCCCCGTTCCTTCTTAACCTGGGCCACAACCGCCCCGCAGGTGCACTACCTAGGGCCCCCCTGCCCTCCCTGCGAAGATGCCCGACTGGCAACCATTCGAGCACTGGATAAAATGGCTGCGGAGAAGCCCGAGGTGGGGGAGAAACGGTTATGGCTCACATGACCCATTTTCCACTCGTTTGCATCATCCACCTTACGGCCACTCAACCACCTAGCCACCAACGAGCATACAGAGATATATCAACCATTTGGTTGCCCATTTTTGTAGGTGTTATATTCCGCGTGTTTTACTCGCTTGTTTTGCGTGATGCGAGGAGTGTGGATGGCGAGGGGGAAGGAAGCACCGTTTCGTCGGTGTAGGAAGAACCAAAGTAAAGCGCGCTCCCACACTCTTTTTGTCCCTTTCTTCTCCACTTTTATATGGATGCAGGATGACCCGGAAATTGCCTCCATTCTGCGTCTTTGCACCTCCATGTTCCAGGTAGGTCAGAGGGGGGGAGGGGGCGGGGGGGGGTTGGAAGGGGATGTAGGTGTGCAGAAAAGATTATCGCGCTTGCTTAGGATGGGTTTAAATGAGTGACTTGCTCTTGACGGCATGTCCCAGTTTACCACCAGTAAACCCAGTTGACCAACCCACGTCGTTGATATTTTTTTATAGAGATAATATGATTGATTTCGATCATGCCCTTGCTACTTTAAGGGGGACACAGCTCACCAGCATGCGACAGGGTGTGCGTACGCGGACCCTCGCCTCACTCGGATATCTTCACAGCTCCCGCCACAGCTTCCTGTGCTCTCATGTACATGTTGGTTGTTGGTTCCAGAGGACACATGTCCGGATGGAGGCCGTGTCCGCGATATGTAACTTGCGACCCGTCACGTACATGTGTCATAATGAGCTTGAGTTCCTCATTTTCGAAAAAAGCCCTTTTTCATACCGGGCCTTGTGTTTCCTGTGTTTCTTTCTCGCCTGACCCGACCGATGTTAGGCCCCGGTGGCGCTGGTGGCGCTGTTCGACTCCAAGAGGGTGTACGTCAGCGGGAGCGAGGGTGAGACAGGAGGGACAGGAAGGGAAGCCCTTTGGCGCCCTGTTTAATAATAAAGCCGTGTGGACGCTGTTTTATGTGTTTTGTGTGATGTACGTGCAACGTAACCTGCTAGCGTCGTGGATGTTTTGTCTGTCTGTCTATCTGTCTGTCTAACCCTGAGAGCACACATCCCGGCGTGTCTGTGATTTTTTCTATCCGTATGCTTTGCCTCTCTTATTTCTTGCTCCCCTTCCCTTCCCTTCCTACCACGATTGTAACATTTAAATAATGATAATGATGTATTATTATTATTATTATTATTATTGTTTAAATACCAAAATCCGTTTGTCCGCATTCGCCTTGAACCAGGCGGTGTCATTCCCTGCGGTGACTTCCCCTGGCGGTGGACTCTGTGTGCCTGGTCACTGGCCTACAACCACGCGCAGATCCTGGTCATTCCAGACACCGTGCAGGTAGGGTTGGGTCGGGCGGGCAGGGATATACATCACCTGCCTGAGGATGTCCCGTGAGTTTAGCCCCGTCGATATAGGAGGTACGCGGGGCCATGTGGGTCGCGGAGTGGTGTGGCGTGCGTCCAAGATGACACCTGGCGTATTCCAGCGTCCCTAGTGGAGGGTCAGGTTTTGGGGGAGAGCGCGGGGGAGGAAATACCTTGTGGGGGGGAGCTTTGTGGGAGCTGTGGGTTGTTTGGAGGGGGAGCTGTGGGTTGTTTGGAGGGGGAGCTGTGGGTTGTTTGGAGGGGGAGCTGTGGGTTGTTTGGAGGGGGGAGCTGTGGGTTGTTTGGAGGGGGAGCTGTGGGTTGTTTGGAGGGGGAGCTGTGGGTTGTTTGGAGGGGGAGCTGTGGGTTGTTTGGAGGGGGAGCTGTGGGTTGTTTCCGCACGTCAACACTTGTGGCAGTGTCTCATTTGATTGCCTTAGTTTCTTTGTCCCGTTATGTATACTTGGGAACGTATTTGGGAAGGTGTCCGTTCCGTCGCACTGCACTCCTCAAGAACAGAAAGCTCCGCACCCGGTACCTAACATGTCCGGGCACTGACAGCTGGTTAATA